ACTGCTAGTGTTCCCTAGGCCATCCGTTATGCTCCAGAGTGCAGGTAAGTTTTTTTTTTTTTTCTCACTTTTGGCAGGGATTCAGGTGCAACTGGTGCATATATTCTAAATGTACACCGTCAATGGGAAAGAATTCTGACAGTGAAGGTATATGATAAATTTAAATATCACCTTAAAAACTGCTAAGAAAACTTTCTACATCATTTAAGTAATAATAGAGTCCAGAAAAAATGGGGCTTAGTATTAGATGGTACATTGGAGAAGATAAGCTAAAAGATGAGAACTAATACTGAAATGACTAGTTCCGTTTATCTCTGATTTTGGCGCTTCAGAATGGTAGTAATATGATTAAGAGACACAGTAAAAAGTCATTAAACATCAGTACAGATGCAATTAACATTTAGTTTTATCCATATCTGAAGTCAAGTCATTTACCCCATAATAACTGCCATATCACAAAACTAAGTTATCTTCATCAGTAAGGAAACTGAACTGTATTTTTAACCACATGAACAGCTGTATTCTATTTATCTATGGAGGCTTACTCTTACCTTTAAAGAAAATCTTTGAAAAATATGACTGCTTTAAGGGAATGACAGTGATTATTGTCTTGTCAGTAACTTACATAAACATGAATACTATAAATTCTAATTTCATAGAGGGCTAAAAAAGTCATATGAAAATATGGTAACATTTTCCTTGGCATCAGAAACATTACTTTTTAATGGAAGGAGGGGGGAACTTTATTTTAAAATATTTTCCTTAAAACATTTATTCTGGCCCTCCCTGGTGGTGCAGCGGGTTAAAGCACAGCACTAAGAAGCTTAAGCCACTTCCACATGAGTTCGATTCCCACCTGCCCCGGAGGAGATCCACATGGTGTGGCAGACCTCTCCTGACCCGCCCGCTGCTCCCCTCAGCAGTGTACTTTGTCGATCTGCCTGTTCTGCTCCCCACTCTGTCTCTGGTGAATCCTCTCACCCTCCGCATCTCTGGCCTGTACCCCAGTTCTGTATGAATAAATAATATATATATATATATATATATATATAACATTTATTCTAAAATTTCACTCCATTAATATATTAATCCTTTTTAATGTTGAAATTGACTATATACAAAATGCCAACAGTGATGAAGCATTTTTTAAAAGATTTATTTATTTATACATACAAGAGCTGGGGTGCAGGCGAGGTGCAGGGGGTGGGTGAGAGGATTCACCAGGGAGAGAGTGGGGAGCAGAACAGGCAGATATACTGAAATATACTGCTGAGGGGAAGCAGCAGGTCAGACAGAAGAGGTCTGATGCACCATATAGGTCATCTCCATGGCCAGGGATAGAAATACCCTGTGGCTGTGGATAGCTTCATAGTACTGAGTCTTTAACCCCTGCACCACCAGGGAGGCCCCAGCACTTAATATTTTTTCCAATTACTCTATACTTTTATATAAAGAATGTATATTCCAAGATAAAGCTGTTTCGAATTGTCAATAATTAACAAAACTTTAAAATTATATCTCTCTTGAAAAAAAAAATTATATATCTCTTGCTTTTTTTTTTAAATCAACATTAGAAAACAATAGTTGGCAGGAAAATTTTTCCATTCAAGGGAAACAGAGTACTTCTTAACAAAGAATCATTTAATTTCTAAAACGTTATTTCTCTAAATTACATTATCCAAACCTCGCATCAATCAATTCTGTAGGCAGCAATTCAAAGCCTGTGTCTAACATAACAAAGCAACTTAAATAAATTACATGTGGAGTCTATTTTAGAATTTAACCACATTAGCATATTCTAAGAACAGTCAAAGTAAACTTAGAAGTAGAATGGGGAAGGGGGGGTTTAGTATCTCTCTAATAAGGATAAAGATAAGAGTACACTGTGACTAGAAAAAGTTCCAATGTAGCAGCTGTAGGTGGCTCTGTGGCTCCAGAACTGGGTAAGTCACTAATAAAGAACTGAACAAAAGGGATCCTAAACTCACTTTAGAAACAAATTGTGATCAAAGAACTACAAAGGACAATTTACAAAAAAGTATGTTCTTAGGGAGTAGTAGGAAAGAACATGCTATTTAATTTATTTGCATTTTATGACACTGAAACAGGTAAATAAATGCTACATAACCAAGTGTCACACAAAATATCATTGATTTGAATAAAAAAAATACCTTACTGAAATATCTTAGTAAATAAAAAAATGGGAGGAAAAAATTGAATGTAAACAAACATTACCTCAATGAAGTACAAAATGTTAAGTTTTTCTCACCAATTACAATGTACTATAGTTTTAGCATACTAATGTTAAAAAATATTTTAAAGACTACATAAACTATTTGAAAAATAGTTTTTATTAATGTTGTGGACAATAACCCTTTACTACATCATTTATTTCATACAGGATTTAAAGTAAATAAAGAGAGGCTAATGGCACATATGCCAGTTAAAGAGGGGAAACTTCTTTCTCTGCAAAGTTTACTTGGTATAAGGACCACATGAAGCATGGTGACCTGAGATAAGCAGCTGGGGGATGTCTCATTAACAGCCTTTTGCTCTGTTCTTGCTATGCAACTGAATCTTGCTTCATGTTAGACCACATACCATGAGGCAGAATGGCCCTGGGGTTCCCATCATTCCTGAATCTTACTCATCCTTGGTCTACAGCTATACATGCACCTCTTGGTATGGAGCCATGTCACATCTGACCACGCACAGCTGCCAATGCAAACCCACCCGGAATCTTGAAGAACTGAAAGTATATATAAAAACCCCGACTTCCTACAGACTGTGGACACAAATCTGCTGAGTCAGCATCAATGAAATTAAACCTGCTTCTTGTTAAACCTAGTGTCTAAGTTTCCTGTGTGCCATGTATCACATATACATCAATTGATCTATTTCTTCATTCTACTCTAACAACTCCCCAAATCCTCTCTTATAAAAATAAATTTATAACCAGATAACTGTTTTACTTGGTTTGATCTTGGTAGTCCTCAAAGTCGGTTCTTTAAAAAATTTAAAGACCATAATATAACATTATAAGTCAGAGTGGCTTCTATCAACTTGCCAAACTCTCAAGTCCCTTATCCTCTTCCACTGACACATTTGTCTTACTAATACAAAAGACCAAGCCTGTCATCTTTCTTTCTACAAAGAACATCAAGTCCAGAGTGCTTGAGTTTGGAATAAAAAAATGATAATCACAAAACCAGACCAACTGAATGCTCCTTCCCCCAGAGATACCCACTTTAATACTCACAGGGTCACTCAACATTTCTTTCACCTACTCTGCTTTTCCATCGTACTCTAACCATTCCAATTACTCCCCGCAAGAGCATCAAAGTCTCCAGAGGAGGCAGTAATAAGGAATAAAATTTCCTAAGCTGACAATTCTGAATTTTCTACCACTTCCAGTTGGTTCATTTCTTTCCATTCTGTTTCAAAAGTAGTCTTTTTCTTTAAGACTAACATTTTCTTACCTACTCTATGATCTTTTCTAAATTACCACCAGTCCTCTGCTACCAATATCATCTTCTTCTCTGCTGCCTTTTTATCAACATATCTTTGTGCCCAAGTCTATAATGTCATAAAAAATTTAAAATTTAAACTGACCTTTAACTTAGCATCTTCTTCTAGTTACTACCATCTCCCCTCAGTCAGTTTTTGAAAGAGTGGTTATAGCTTCACAATTCCACAATTCTCAATTGTTGTTTCTAAAAATATTGCTATTTGACTTACAATCTTCACTCTGCTAAAACTGCTTTTTGAGAGGTTTCAAATATTCTCATCAATGCCAAATCTAATGATTGCCTCTCTCTTTTTTCGACCTCTTTGTAGAGGCTAGCAATATGAACTGTACTCTCTGCTATGCTAAAACATTGATGCTTTCAACAAAACTATCCTAACCCTTATTTTACAACCTACTTGTATGACTTCACCTATTAGCTAAATAGTCCCCAATTCTTATTGCTTACCAAGACTACCATGAGCACTAGCCCTGTAATTCAGCTAATTTATATGCCATAAATTACTCAAGCCCAACATTTAGATGCTAAATTTCTAATCTTTCTTCTAAATCTGCTCCTCACATGTCTTTGTTAACTATCTTTTGTCTAGCTAGGAATTATGTCAAGACTCCTCTGAAAGGTTAAGAATTTGCACTGACATACTGTGGTGGAGACTGGTAAGTCGATGAATATTCTCACCTTCCCTTTTGCCAGGATGGGGATAATCATGCCTATGTCCATGTAACTCTACAAGAAGAATATGTTCAACTGCTGATTAATATGAGATGATTTAAAATTCTTTCTGGATGGCAGTTCTACTGCCCAACTTTAACTATGCAGAATTTGTCCTTTCTTTAAAATGTAAAAAAAAAAATTCTTTCTCTGGGTGGCTGCAGGAAGAAAAAGGTCACACTATAGCTACTTCAAACTCAAGAGAAACAGGGTCCTGAAGACTATTTCTTTTAAGTGTGAAAGTTCCCAATTTAAAGTTAAAAGTCCCATGAGGCTTGGCAGTAAGTTTCAGAACTTAAAATCTTCAGGATTTTTAGAGTGAAGCTATTTAACTATAATGATTTTAATAATTCATATACTAAGAAGGCTGATTTTAAAAGTACATGTGTATACCCAGCTGCAATGTTCAAGATAAAATGCTAAGTACGATGGGACACAAATAAATTTCAGTTCCCACCCATAGTTAACTTATCTAGTTGGATGACATTAAATTTACAAATAGTATGATATATGTAATGGTATGTGATATTACACACAAAAAATTCTAATTTAAAATAATAAATAATAAAATCTCAGAAATTCATGAGAATAGGAACAGGGCAATAAAAAGACTAAATCACAGTATTTAAAGAGATACTACAGTTTTTTATTTCCAATTTTAATGTAATTTTAATTTAACTGGTAAAATGCACACATTTTACATATTATCTCCAAAAAAGGTGAAAATAAAGATTCTTATTACTTTACAGCAAACTTAATTACCTTTACTTGGGACAGATTTTTTCACTGAGGCTATATGCTCTTCAGAAATTGCAAGGCGTCGCAAAACATCAGCCAAAGCTGCCTTTAACACAGTGATTTCATCTTCTTGTTGTTGAACTCGTAACTCAAGAGCTGAGAGGCGATCTTGAACATCAGAAGTACTTGCAGCAGAAATACTATCATCTATAAAATAAACATGAAATATTTTACAGGTTAAGTTAAAAAAATAATTTAATGACAAATTAGAAAATCTGTATCAATCTTTAAAATATAAAAACTGAAAAAGAATGGTCATTTTGAACAGATTAACTTCTGCAAAGATTTTCATAACTATTTGAACTAATTTAAAATATTAAATGCCAATATATTTGACATATAATTAAAATTAAGAAAATTTCCCTCACTTTTTTTAATCAAAATATTCTTCAAATATATCACTTCATACAATTACGATAATTTTAAAAGAGCAAACTATTCAAAGCATACTTCTTAATTACCACACGACTGTCATACTTCTCTCTAAAAAAAGAGTACAAATAAAACTTCATTTTCACTTTGTGTAGCATACAAGGAACCCCTTCCCACTCACTTTCATGATTAATTAAGAAAAAGCACTCTACTCCTGTCTACTTCTATATTCACAAATTATTATACTCTCAAAAACCATAATTTATGATTAATAAGAATATTTTGGTACTTTTCTATACCTCACATCCAAAATTCTTTAAAAACTAAACAAAACAGGGCCCTCCCTGGTGGCGCAGCGAGTTAAAGCACAGCACTAAGAAGCTAAAGCCACTTCCAATTAGTTCAATCCCCGCCTGCCCTGGAGGTGACCACATGGCGCCACAGACCTCTCTTGACCCACCCACTGCACCCCTCAGCAGTGTGCTTCATAGATCTGTCTGTTCTGCTCCCCGCTCTGTCTCTGGTGAAGCCTCTAGCCGCCCCTAAGCCTCTGGCCTGTACCCCAGTTCTGTATGCACAAATAAATAAATCTTTAAAAAAAAAAAACTAAACAAATATTCCTACTAGCTAATGATATGACCTAGCAAATTCCTTTTTGCAAGTCATTACTTGTAAGCAGAAGGTACTGATTGAGGCAACGAATTATACGGAGATGACTTTCTAAATTGTTCTCAATTCATGAAGAATGAGTTACATATTTAAATTATAATCATGGTAAGATACTTGATTTTTATAAATATACTCTGCTTAATGATTTTGTGAAGTCAGTAGAAAGGTTATCAGATACTAATGCCAAATTTATTATAGGTCTGTGTTTTAAAACAGACATAACTAGCTTTTACTTTTGCAAGAAACTTAAACTCTTAAAGACTTTTTTTAAAAAAAATATATGACTAGGTTTTTACTTTTTGAAACCTAGATAGTCACATGAAAGGTAAGGTTTAACTTATAAAAATCTTACCACAAGCTACTAGATACTGTGATAAGACACAAGGACAATTTTTTTCAAAGGGTTTAACAAGCACAAAGTTAACTATTAACAGCGTCCTGCATTTATATTGTACAGTCATTTACTATGTCACCCCCCTCTTCACACTACCTATATTTTTTATATTTGAAGAAAGAGCTTGAGAAGTTAAATACTTTGCCCCAAGGTCACCAACATAGTCTTAGAATATCTGTTTGAGATGCAAACACCAGACTCTAGATTCATAATTTAAGTGCCCTTATTTCACATTGCATGCTAACAGTCACAGGGGGACCAATAAATATATGCTTACATAAAGCCTCAAAAGACGTTTTTAAGTTGAGAGATATTATTAAACATTTGTTTTAGAAGGTCATTTGGCTGCTATGTGATAATAGACTAGGACAAGCTAAGAGTAAATGCAAGGAAACTAACTGCAGAAATGTATGTGAAAGGTCATTGATGGTCTAGGTTAGGGTTCAATTGTCCATATATCTTACTCTGTGCTGAAAAATTTGTCTGCTATTTCAGTATAAATAGTTATACCTCACCTTCATCCTCAAGTTTCTTAGTTTGGACAATTAATTATAGGGGCACTAAGCAGCAATGGAAATGCAAAGGAACATATAGTTGATCTCCACATTTCCTTATAGATCTAAAATTCTATAACCTTGTCTAAAATTCTGGCTCTCTCTTTTTAGGGGTATGAATCTCTTTGGGAATTCAATAAAAGCACTGGTAGAATAGTGCATGAATGTAACTCTGGACTGGCTTCTCACACATAATTTCTTCATGCTAATTAGTATTTACCTTAACTTTAGAAATATTGCATGAAATAGTGCATAGCACTGCCATTTAAACAGACTCAAAAAGTTACTATCCTTGAGTGTAATGTTCATTGTAATATATACTGCATATTACTGTCACAAAATTGGAAACCCCACAAAATAGATGGGGTTAAAAAGTTATAATGTATTCATACCACAGAATACCATGCAACAATTAAAAATAATTAGATGTATAAGCTAAAAACTTGAAAGATCTATAAGGCAACTTCAGAGGAATAAGCTAATTGTGTGTGAAACACTATGTACTGAGCAACTTTTATTCAAATACACACAAAGGTATACTTAAAAAAATAAACACAAATTTATTTACATATGTATATAATGTACACATAGAAAAGAAAAGCCTAGAAGCATACATGTCAAACTGATAATTAGGCTACTTCTGACTAAGAGACTAAAATTAAAAGAAAAAAATTAAGGGGATTTTTTGCTTTTTTAATTTAAATATTTCTGTGTTATTTGATTTTCATAATGAAAACATGTATATGTGTTAAACTTATGTTTAAGTAAAAGTGCATTGCTTTGAAGCAGGACTTACGTTTTGTCAAGCATGGTGTTTCAATTTTATAAAGGAACATACTAAAGTATAAAGTAATTAAACCACCATTCACTGATTACTAAAGCTAGCATAGAGTCTAACTTAAAGACTAACACCTCCCCCGACCCACTACCATTTGATAGAAAAGTAAACTAAAACTATTGGGTAATTAGGTAAATTACTCAGAATCACACAGCAAACAGGTTAGAGCTCCTGCCTCAGATGACTCTTAAAAATCAATCTCTCTTAACTCTTTCCATTCTGAAGACTTTTCCTCATTTTTTTCTCTAATAATCTCTAATGGACTACACTCCCATTCACAATAAACTTTTATGAATAAAACATATGTTCAGTAACTAGAATGTATCTATGTTGGGGAGGTTTCTTAACTTTCCTTTGTTAATCCATTTATAATATAACGTCCCTTTTCCTCACACAATGGTATTCTCATTTCTTTGTTCCTTCTCAAAATAGTTCTAGACTTGAAAGTATAAACTGCAAATGAATTCTCAAGTTTTCTTAAACTCATGTTGGGGGCTAAGTGGAGGAACCCATTAACCTCTTTATCCATGAGTCTAATTTATATTGGCTTAAGTCTCTTATTAGAGACTTAAGATTAGAGATCTGAAATTAGAAGTTTGAGATTAGAAATTTGTGTACAAATTTGTATGTAACTAATAAAACTTTACTGTACACTATTTAGAACTATATTAAAACTAAAACTTTTTGTTCTTACTAAAGTAAAGTGTACTTAATTTATCTTCTGAACTGTCAATGTGCTACCTTTGTAGAGATAAATACATTGTATGTTATTTTAAACATCCCAAAGTTGGCAATTCAGCATTCTGTCAGAATGAGTTTTCCTGACATTCCAGTACTTTTAGAATGTCAATGATTTTATGTAATTCTTTCTCAAATTGAATACTTTGTCTTCCTAACAAGGCACACAATTATAATGTAAATGGCGTCAAATTGGCAAAATAAATGTGACAATATGTCTCCCCCAAAATACATAGTAACATGAACTCATATTCATTGCTGGTAGGACTTAAACTGCTTTAAGAACTTTGGGCTTCATTTGGCAAAATTAAAAATGCAGACATCCTATAGACCCAGCAATTCTATTACTAGGTATATGTGTATATCCTGACCTGTAGCAAAGTTGGCAAACTGTTTCTGTAAAGGGCCAGAGAGTAAATATTTTAGGCTTTAAAGACCATATATTTTCTGTAAATATAAAAAACAGCTTTAGATGTTGGTATGGCTATGTTCCAATAACACTTGATTTACAAAACATACAGTCTGCCAGACCTGGGTTCCCAATCTCTGCTCTTGTACATATACATCAAGAAACATATTCAGCAATACATTACTGAAAGACCACTAGGTTGATGAGGAAATCAAAAAAGAAATAAAAAATACTTTAAGACAAGTGACGATGAGGACACATTCTAGAATGCATGGACACAATAGAGGGAAGTATGTAGCAATACAAGCCCACATTAAGAAACAAGAACTCAAAGAAAACAACCTAATCTCTCATTCAAGGAACTAGAAAGAGAATCCAAAGAAAGTAGAGGAAATAAATGAAATAGAAGTCAAAATGGTAGTCCATGAGATCAATGAAATCAAAAACTGATTCTCTGTATAAACAGATAAACCCCTACCTACACTCACAAAGAGGGAGAAAACTAATAAATAGGATCACTGATCATAGAGGGGAAATTACAGTAGATACAGAAATCCAGAGAATCATTCTTTATGGGAAAAAACTGAAAATCTTTCCACTAGAATCTAGTAGAAGACAAGGATGTCCACTCTCACCACTACTATTACAATCACCACTACTATTCACAAAGTACTAGAAGTCCAAGTTAGAGCAATTAGGCAAGAGGACAAAAAAAAAGAACCCAACTGGTCAAGAAGAAGTATATTATCTGCAGATAATATAATATCTATAGAAAATTATCTACAGATGACATAATATAGAAAATCCTAAAAAAAATCTATGGAAAATTTAATTAAAACAATAAGCCAGACCAACATCTAAAGCTGTTTTTTATATTTACTTCAGTAAAGTATCAGGTTACAAACAAATACATAAAAGTCAGTTGCCTTCTTTTATGCAAAAAATCAACCTAAGGAAGAAAACCTCTCCATTTACAACTGTAGCAATAAATAAATTAACTATATAAAAATTACCTGGGAATAAACATAACAAAGTAGGCAAAGAACATATACAAGGAAAAAATATTAAAAAAAAAAAAAAGAACACACACACACACAAAAAAATGTTAAGATATTTCCTGCTCATGGGCTGAAAGAATCAACATTACCAAAATGACTATCCTACCTAAAACAA